TTTAGTCTTGAATTGTGTATTGCCTTGTTGATTAATGTATTTTCAGATATGTATTTTTTAGAATAATGCTATTTAGCCTACTTGGATGACAACTTGGGTTACAACCCAAGTGTAAATGTATTATCAAAAAGTTAAAAAATATTGTATTTGCCCTTAGTTGTAATCTAAGTTGTCATTCAAGTTGGCTTTATAGCATTTGTAATCCAAGTTGTCATTCAAGTTGACTTTATAGAATTACTCTATATTTAATGGGTTTCGGAAATGAAGATAAATTTAAAAATAAATACCAATAATTCACCTTAATTTGGCATATCATTAAATGTTAGCCAAAAAATTCAATTCAATTATTTTGGACAGGGGTATATTATTAGACTGTAACATCACCAAAACTGTTGACACTGCCAATATCCATGACCAATTAGTCCCATGGCCCACCAAACGTCTTCGTTTCGATTTATTGGTTTGTTAAAGAGGTTGACCGTTATTTCAGGTAAATAGCTCTCAACAACCCAATTCTTGAACTAAAAGGCTCTTTACCATATATAGCCCAAACCAATGTCCCCATCACAAATTCTTTGGCCAACCTTTGAATCTAAACAATCTCCTTCCTCCTTCAGACACAACCTTTACAGAGACACAGAGAGAGAAAATAAAGGTAGAGAGAGAGAGAGAGAGAAAGGTCATGATCTATGGTGTGCTCATTCCCACTAAGGTCATGATCTACCAAAATATAAATTCCCTAATAAAAACACTTTCTTGATCCTCTTCACTTGAACCCTCTTTCAAGTTTTGTGATCTCTCATTGTTTCACATTTTTTTATTTTTGTTGGATCTTTATGTTAGAAATCATAATGGCCTCAGTGAGGAGCTTCGTCGAGCAAAATCTCGGAAAATTCCCGCATTTTCTCCTATACGCAATCCTCGAGTGGCTTGTTATCATCCTCCTATTCATAGACGGCATCATAGCCTTCGCGTGCAACGAGATTGCTCGTTTTTTCGATCTCAGAATCCCGTGCCTCATCTGTACGAGGATCGACCATGTCCTCGTCCATCGAGATCCAAACTTCTACTTCAACGACTCAATCTGCGAGGCCCACAAAAAGGACATTTCTACCCTCGCATATTGCCACGTGCACAAGAAGCTCTCGGATATCCGCACCATGTGCAAAGGGTGCCTTTTGTCTTTCGCAGCCGAGAAAGAGTCGGATCTCGAGAGGTACAAATCGCTCGTCGGAGTCTTGCACAAGGACGTCGATTGGCAAGTGGAGGACGAGAGGAAATCGCTCTTGAACAAGAAGGACGATAACGACATTTTGCCCGATGGGGTTAGGAGTGGGATTTCGAGGTGCACGTGTTGTGGGGATCCTTTGAAGTTGAAGGCTTCGACTAAATTTAATCGAAGCTTGTCGATGAATGTGCCCACGCCTTCTCCTAGGGCATCGTTTTTCGGGATTAAGAATGAAGAGGGTAGTGGGAACTTGGATTTGCCGCATATTCGGTACACGGAGCTTAAGTTGATGTCGGATACCGAGTCGGAGGTTCTCGAGGAGGATGATGCCACAAATGCGTATAGTCATAGTGAGTTTCGTTTCGTCATCTTCTTTGGGTAGCTTTTCAAATAAACTCGTTCAAATTTTTATTTTAGCTAGCTTATCAGCTAATTTTATCAAACACTTTTATCATATAAGCTAGCTTTTCAGATATTAGCTATAAGCTCGAAAATCACGTTTAAGTTATAAGCTAGCTTATCAGCTACTTTTACCAAACACATAACTGTATTCTATTTCCTCACATGCTATCTAAAGCACTAACTTAAATTTCTCTGTCATTTGTTATAAAAGTTTTCCATTAATCTTTGCTTCCTGCAGCTAACAGAGAAGACCCGAAAGCCGCTACAATGCCTTTACTCCAAGAAACCGATGAAATAAACGAAGAAACCCTCCGAACCCCAACATTCACCGGTCGAAACAAATTTTTCGGAATCCCACTATCCGACTCGGCCCAAGCCAGCCCACGTTGGGCTAATCGCTCCTTAACCGGCATAAAAAAACTCCCGGTCGACAAACTCGACTTCACACTAATGGCCCTCTACATGGAGCTCGACGAAGAAAGAAGCGCTTCGGCAGTTGCGGCAAACAACGCCATGGCAATGATCACCCGTTTGCAGGCCGAAAAAGCCGCTGTCCAAATGGAGGCCTTACAGTATCAACGAATGATGGAAGAACAAGCGGAATACGATCAAGAGGCTATACAAGTTCTCAAGGACATGATTTTCAAGAGGGAAGAGGATATGAAGGCGTTGGAATCCGAGCTCGAGATGTACCGGGAGAAGTACGGGCAGATGAAGAAGATCGGGAGCGAGATTTGTGAGATCGATGATGACGAGGATTATCAGGACATGAAGTCTCAGGGGATGTCTTCGTTGAGCGAGAGGTCGGATGAAGGAGGGAGCAGCAGCTCGAGTGGGAATGAAGGCGAACGGGCTTATGATCGGTCGATGGAGAATTCGAAGGATCCGATGAGTTTCGATTTCGATAAGGAGAGGAATTATTTGCTTGATCTTTTGAGGAATCTCGAGGAGAAAATACGGTCGAATTCTGAAGAGTTTGTTGTGGTCAAGAATGAAAGCGAAGGCAGAGGTAAAGTCATTTCTTTTTTCTTTTTTCTTACTTTTGGATTTTCATTTGTTGAATTTGATGATGATTTGTTTACCTTTCTTTGTGACGAGAGTAAAGGTGTGCTCACAAGGGAAGTGTCGTTGATTAGAGAAAGGTTGAGAGTGATTGAGGCAGATAATGGGTTTTTAAAGCATGCGGCTATGACATTGCAAAGAGGAGATGAGGGGACTAAGCTGTTGACTGAGATAGCTCAACATCTTCGGAAGTTGAGGCAGCCGGTTAAGTCTCCATCAGAGGACAGTGTAGATGCATGATGTTTTTTGTCCTGCAGGTAAAAAAGAGATATGCAAATCGGTTTTACATTGTTACAGTTTAGTTTTCAGTGAATTGTCACGGTTCTGTTTTCATGTTCTTTCACCGTGTTAGGGATGTACATAAACCATAGGTATACAAGATGGAGGATTGGAATCAGAGATTTGGATGTTTAATGAAGAGGAAGGTAAAAGCAAGAGCATTATCCCATATAGTGTGATGTTATTTTATAACCTTTAACTTAGTTTGTATATTATTTTGAACCAATTTTGCAGGAATGAAGATGAGGGAAAGGTTTTGGATTCTCTCTCTTATGGTTGGTTTTTATGCGCGATGAGGAGTGAGGAGCCGGAATAGAATCTTTCTTCTGCCGGGATAGGATCTTTCTGCTGTCTTCTGTTCTAGTTCATTTTTTTTTCCTTTTTTAGTTTCATTTATGAACATGAAAAATGTTCTCCTTGATGAAAAGATTATTTGGTGGTGAGGTTTGACTTTATATGCGACAAGAGACTCTTGAGTTTTTGGTTTAGGTTGTAATATCNATTTTTTTTTTCCTTTTGTGTTGCACACTTGTTTGGTACGAGGGATTGTGATCTGCCTCGGCAAGATTGATTGTCTCGTTTTCATTCAATATGCCTAATTTCGAATAAATGTTGCTGCACTCGAGTATGATCGGCCGAAATAAGAAGGATTCGGTTCTTTAAGCAGCTTACAGATGTTTGACACTAAATTCATTAGATGTATGTTCAGGTAAAAGTGGTTATTAGGTGCATTTGATTTTGAGTTTTTGCCTTAAAGCAGTGAGTAATCAGATCCAGTATACAGTAAAAATATAAATCAAACCATATTACAGTTACTATAAAGGGCTGAAGTGACATATATATACATACTCTTGAACAACACAAAACATATATCAGTTACGAATGAACGAATATAAAAACGAACAAACTATATATGGCTATATGCCACCCGATCACTGACTAACTACCGGTAATCAATGGAGCTGTCGAAGACAGATCCTGCCAGAAAAAGCTGCCATTGTCGGGCTGGTTATCCCATAAGACGTGATCGTCTGCAGGAAGTTCAAAATCGAAGAAGTCAAGCAACTCTTTCTCGAAACTTGGATCATCACACAATAAGGGCCCACCAATACCATCCACCTTGCTCACCAATCCACTTTCGTCAACAAGCTTCTCGTGATCCATCATACTCTCCTCCAGTTCATGGATCCAATCATCATCATCATCCCTCTGTGCTTTTGGCCCCACCTCACCAAATACCACATCATCAGCCAGTGGGAACGCGCCACCTGGACTCGAACCAGGACATTCATCGGCAGCACTCCTCATGACATCATCATGATGATCGTCCATAATACTCTCCTCTAGCTCATGTATCCAATCCTCGTCTGTGATTTGTACTTGTTCTGGGCCCACATATCCAAAATCCACATCATCACCTTGGTCCCGACAATCAGCAAAAGAAGCCACAACGTTGCATGAACAAGAACACTCCACGCCATAATCACCCAATCCGCTCCCGACACGTGGCTTATTTGCAATCTTCTTGGTTTTCTTCTTGAGAACACACATCGCAAAATTCTTGTACTCTTCTTTGATGCACTTGATGGCGGTATCAGGAAGCACATATTTTGTCATCAGCCACGAACCCTTGTCTGAATTACTCTTAGCCTTCGTTTGGTACCGGAAAGTTCTCCGGTAACCAATGATGACCCGCCGGTCGAGAGAAAGAATGGGAGTGGCCTTAAATTTAATGGTCAAAATTAGCAAATTGCAAAATACCAAAATATCTCCATCACACCTTAAATTTACAATTTTGCTAAACATAAATTTACCCAAATGTGAATTCACGCCAATTCAATTTTCTCGAGTTTTTGAACTTCTTTGGTTTTCATCGCACTACACCAAAATTAATTATTCTTAAGTTTGACTATTTTAAAAAAAATAAATCGTTCCAAACATATGAACACATAATTGAGGTTGTTGCATATGTAGTAAACATACCAGTACAAGTCCACGTAACTAGAGGACAATTCTTGGCCCATTAATAAAGTGCCAAAATGACCAGGTAAGCCCAATAAGACCCACGGACCTCCATCGGACCAGCGTAAAGCATGTGGGATAAGTTTGTCGATAACCCTATCGACAGAAATCAAATTAATATATTGTCGATTGCCCGACACTATTGAATGCTCTGAGACACCAAACTCGTAAAGCAATTGAAACTATCGCCCAAAAGGTCTTGTCTCACTATTCAAGACGATCACGTCCCGCAGTTTTGAAGAAAACACATCTCGTCCTCAAAAGAGACGAATTTCTGCATGGCACCACGTGTCATTCACCTAGCAACTAAGGTAGCAATCGACTATAATTATATGTTGCCTTTTTCTGCATATAAATGAGGCACACTACTTCTCTTATATAATCACGAACTATAAACATTATTCAAATAAAAACTTTTTAAAAGCTCAAATGAATACACTAGATTCTTAAAATCTCATTAATTTTATTTTTTTTTTAAATACGAAATGACTACACCCCCCACGAACGAAACATAATAATGAATAAAAGTATTAATTTTTAAAATAATTAGATATTTCTATATTCCAATGTCCACATATAGGAATGAATCATTACAACCACTTCCCAGAAACCTCCTAAAACATATACTACTAAAGTTTCCTTGCAATAACCACGATAGCATCACCAAGTATCCCCACAACCCGGTTCCCTGTGGCAGAACAGATTGTCGGTCTTGATACAATCGTCGTCTCTAGCGAGGCCAGTGACACTTTTGAGAAGGAAGATGATGATTTCAAGGTCTGTCGGTTCGAAGTGAACGCCCAAAATCGAATGGATACACCGCTCTTAGCAACGTTGTTTGCGCGGTTTATTGGGGATTCAATCACAATATAATGACACCCCCTATATGTTATTTCAAACAGTTTACATTAATATCCTAACAAATAATTTAGACAATAATCATAAAAAAGGTTCAAAATAAAAATAATGGTTCATAAAACAAATAATGGTTAATAATGCTTCATGTCACAGTCTGGAAGTCATTTGCAGAATTAATTTTCATCCACATGAATCCATAATGAGAGTTGTGACACACTAACCCCTCAAGCTATTCCATTTGCAAGTAGATGAAACTTAAAAAATTGAAGATTCATGATTAACAGCAGAAAGACAAAATTTAACTAATGTATACAATTAGATTTCACATAAACCAGAACTAAAATTCATTACTGGTAGCAACTCATAACACAAAATTTGAACTTGATGGCAGTCAGCAGCCATTCCAAATCATCATTCAAATTGTCATCAACATTTCAACATGTTGAAATGAAACAGAACGCTGCGAACACACCAAGTAAATACAACGGAGATTAAACATTGATTAATTTATGGGTTGCGAGCTGTCAAATAGTCTCAAGACTATTAGCTACATAGCAAATACATCTACAAAGCTTCCAAATGGATGGTTCCCAAAAAAATATTGCAGCAAAGGTTGTATTATGATTTCTGGTTAGCCTTATTTCAGAGCGAACGAAAATAATGCACGCGTGATCGTGATTCAAATTTCAAAAAAAGGATGTAATATAGAAGGCGGAGCCAAGGATTAATACTAGTATGTTGATTGAGAAACGCTGCAGCGCCGTCGAAAGAGTATCTAGCTCCGGGCAGAGGCGTCTCTGGCGAGGTCAGCGGCCGTGGCAGTGGGATTGGCGGCGAGGAGGAGTGAAGCCGGTAGGAAGCCGTGCTAGAGGCAACTCTGCGATTAGGGCATAAGAAGAAAAAACATCCAACTCTTACTGAAATTTGGGGGAGGGAAACAAGGGTAATGGAGACTTTTAATTTTTACATAATAAAAAGCTGAATCAAATCGCTGCTCTAAGCAGCGTTTTCTAAATTGGCGGATTGTCCCAAAAAGCTATTTATAACAGTTATTTATCAAACACTTCTTTCAGCTGATTAAAAAAGTCAAACAACTAAAATAGATGAAAAAGCTCTTTTGAATAAAAAACAAATGGGACCATTGTACCATATTGTCAAGTTCTAAGAGCATCCATAATAATTTGGGTTCAATCCCAAAAAATTATATGTCACCGAAGAAATAGACTCGGTCTAATAAATATATTCCCCAATGCAACTAAAAGTAGTCCTGCTGATGTGGCAGCCAGAAAAAGAGACCCGGTCTCTCCTTAAGTCTATTTTAGACCCAAGTAGAGACTTAGTCTCTTTGCATTGGAGTGGATTTTATTAATTTTAAATAGTTTTATCCATTTGATCTAAGACTTAGGGTTTATTTACATACTGCAAGACTAGACCCAATGCATTGTAGATGCTCTAAGTGCAAACTGAGGTTCTGACCATCATGCCTCTCATTCCTTGCCCCAATCAACGCCTCCTACTAATACCATAACAATAAATATGATTTTGAAACTCCCAAAAAGGTGCAGGTAAGGGCGACTCTGCAGGATCACGTTCCATTCCATCAGCAAAGAATTTAACCTCTTCCGGAAGCATCTGCAAGAGAGGGAAAGCGTTGGTACTAAGTATAAATGGGTGATCGAACCTTAGGAACTTTGATAAAGATGCACGTGAATTGCATGGTTCATCTATAAATTATGAGTCACAAAAATAGTGCAAGCCAAATCTGTAAGACAAGTAAACCCGGGCACCAAATGCATATGTAATAATAATAATAATAATAATAATAATAATAAAAATAATACGTGCACTTACAAAGAGTTGTTTGCGGGGTAAATTCCGGTCCAAGTTCAAGTTCATCTGCAGATGACTCGGCCAGGTGAGAGTGATCAATTTGCTAAAATTGTCCCTAAAGGGCTCAGACCCCTCCATCGACACTAAGCTCCCGACAAAGTCAAAGGCCGAAGATATATAGCTAAATGGCTTGGGAATTTCATACGTCCTAATAACTCGACTCTTCCCAATGTCGTACAATACTATCTCTGAAAACAATTCTCTCTCTGAAGACGTCTTCCAAGGCGTCTGCAGCAGCATATATTTCCCTCCCCCCACGGAGTTGAGGCAATAATTGAAATCAAAATGAAAAGAAACCAGACATGAACGAGTCCAATGACCATCCGCATCCATCGTCCACAAACGGTATGGATAACACTGTGTATCATCCAGCGTCGCCAAATCAGCAGCCTCGGTGGAACGATTTCCCACATAATCCAGCACCGCCAAATCCCCCTTCCAGTTGGTAACAATAAGCCGCCAAAGCCCATTGGTAATTGTCATAGCGATTTCTTCCAGGTCAGAAGATAGTTGAGATGGGAAAGAGAATAGCTTGAGCTTGTTGGTTTTGACATCAAATGACATGATAAAGGGATTCCCATCATAATCAAGGACAGCCCAGTGGGGGGAATTCCGGATAAACACATTGCAGAAGGTGGTTGGGACCAAGTTCATAAAGTTTGAGGGGTGATAGATATAAGAGGGGTTGGTGAAGTAAATCTCCTCCCAGGAGTTAATATCCGAGGACCAGACCTCGGCGAAAGTTGGTTCGCGCTTCTTCGAAATGATTCTAACAACCTTGTACACGTCAGACTCTTGGTCCCAGCAGAAGGCGAATGTGGCCTGAATATTGGAAAAGCGCTCGGCACGGCGAATGCCCATGGGGAGTTTCTTTGAGAGCCCAGTGGATGGGTTCCATATCCAGATGTCATTGGGAGTCGGCGAGCTGCAGTACGTCCAGTTGCCAGTGGAGCAGATCAGGCCATTAATCGAGCCAATAATCAATGTGTCCGGGGAAAAGCAGACGAGGCCTGATTGGGTGGGTTTTACTGGGGCCTTCTCTCTTTCATAGTGGGCGACTGAATCGTGGAAAAGGAATTGGGGATCGGATTCGGACCGGGCATGGTCGAGCTGTGCAGAGATAAATCCCGGTGAGGTGGTTAGGGAGAGCCAACTCTTGCATACGCATCTGCAGACGGCGATGTGCTTTGCATGTAGCCGGAGAAGGACCAGGGATGTTTCTATGTTTGGCAGGCTCCATTCTTCATTTAAATCAGGGTTTTCTTTATTGTCACCACTGCCACCTCCAATTGATATAGGTGTAAAGTACGCTGAAGCCATAATCTTATTCAACTTTTCCCTCAGGCCAGCATCTGAAGTGGAACCACATTACTAAGTGAAAATTATGTAAATATAAACCTAATAAACCGCTACCAAAATAGGATAATACTAGAATTATTACAAGAACCCTGCCAATGAATTCTCGATACATGCACTACATGAGCGAATATGATTCTTCGGAGACTGAGAATCAATGAGTTAAAAATTGTAATAAACATTCATAGAAACATCAATCATTGCAATGAAGGGACACCCAAGCAAAATTCTAAGTGTCGTGAAACTGTAAAGCACATCAACCTAAGCGTATTTAGGAAACCTCACATTCAAATTTGCCATACAAATACTTGCCATAAATATTTACGGTACAACTTCCATATTGCAAATGATTAACTATATTAATCAACCATTAATCATAAGTACCAAACTGCACTAATGCACTATGCACATGTAAAAGAGAGATTAATGAAAAATACAGCAATACAAAATGGTATACATACACAAAGGCACTCAAGCTGTGCTTATTAAGCTACTATGCCACCCACATCATCTTTCATGAGCTTATTAAGCACCAAGCTGTGCTTATTGAGCAAACAAATCACCATCAGAACACAGTAAATCCATGAAATCAAGCAACTCTACCACTTGAATCTTGAAGTACCTCACGTAGAAGATTAATCATAACAACCACCAAAGCAAGCAATGGAGAAAAATGTACATACCAAAAGAGCAAAGGAGAGATTTATCGTACAAGTGACATTTGAAGCGGGCTCAATTGGCTGCTCCGCATTCGCAAGCCATAGCTTAGCATGCTCCACACACTTCTGCAAAGCGTTCTTATGGGACAGGCTTGAATTAACGGGCCGTGAAAACAACAAGCTCCCGAGCGAGGCAATCAAGTCCAAATCGGGCTCTTTCAGGAGATCTCCGGCAGCATCGTCGTCCGTGATGCAATCATACGTCAGGCAGCAGTTCCTCTCGTGCGTCCTCGTGAGCAGACTGTCCCGTGCTAAAAACAGTGTCTTCACGTCAAAGACGGTGCCGAAGTATAGCAGGTTGAGCAGATCGGAAACCGCCGAGTCGGAAGCGGGAGTCCCCGATTTCTCCTCCGCCTCCACGGTGGACGCCGCCTCGCTCGGGATTTCGGCGGCTGGGTCCGGCTTCTGTTTGTTTTTTTCCAGCGCGAGCTCGATTTCCTGACTGACGGCTTGAAGGAGCGGCTGCTTGAGCTTCTCGAACTCGTCGATGCCGGCGAGGACGGAGGATTTGGAGCGCAGGGTTTCCTCCTGCTCCTTGTTGAGGGTTTTGCCCTGGGAAACAGAATCCGCCATCTGCGCGATGCGGTTAAGCTTCTTGCGCAGTGCGCGGAGGCGCTTGTTTACTAGGTTGAGGGCTGGCCCGTCGGTGGCGATCTCGGAGGAAGGCGATAGTGCTGGTGCTGGTGCCGCAGGCGCCATTTTCGATTGTTGATGCGGGTTGGTGAGGAGTGTGGTGCCGTTGAGAGATTAGATTTCAGGCCGCCGTGGGCGGCGGAGGAAGGGTTTTTTGGGAGGCGGAGCGATTGGTGGGTGACATAATATAGTCGCTATAACGAGTCAATTATTTATACNATATATATGAACAAACAAAAAAAAATGAACAATTATCTATTATGAATTTTACTTATGTAGAATCTTCTTTTTTATTTTATTAATTTCTATTTATATTTATTTTCTCTTTTGGCACAAAGTTGAATGTAGCGAATGTAAATTAAAAACGTTTCTTATTGATTGTGGTATAATAAATGTCATAATAAGAATGTACGAGTATTCGATCTTTTGTGCACGTGCACATATATTTAAATTATTATAAGTATGTGTATATGTCTAACAATAAAATTATAAGTTAAAATAATAGTATAACATTTTAAAATTTTTGTCACTAGTAAAAGTGAACATCATAAAAATATTCAACTTTATCACTATATTTATTGCATAAAATGAAATGGTGGATAATTATTTTTCATTAAATTCAACTAATATAGTGTACAATCTTGTAGGAAAAATTTAAATTTGAAGGAATTTGTGTAAATATCTCTATTACAAAAGATTATCTCTCTTATCTATATAGGAAGAAGTGAAAGCCATTATATTGCGACAAGTGGCTTCTTCTTACGTTGACATATGGCATTTTATTTATCAATTACTTGAATGTCCTTTTTTGGACACACATAAAAAAAGCTCTAACACTACTTGGGAAGGGCAATAAGGTCAATTGGATGTCCCTTCTATTTTTATGTGTTTTGGCTTAAATGCCCCAATTGTATTAACCTTTTGAGGGTTGTGGACGTAATTTACCGTCTATGCTTCTTTTCTTCCTGTCCTCGCGGGATTTCTCCCAGAAAATCTGGTGAGATGCGCGTCATGTCTTCAATCGGTTGTACCCTTTTCTTGCTGAATTTTACACGTCTTCTCTTTACCTAAACCACTGAAATGAGCACCACTTTTTTCCATTTTTCATCGCACGCTACACTGAAAGAGATTGAAGAACGAACATGTTCTGCTCTCCATTCTGAAACCTAACCTCCGGGACTCTCTACTGGACCAAAATTCCTCATCCATGGCTTTTTTTCCTCTCCATGGCCGAAATCCTTTCAACCCGTTCCCCGGCCCCAACCCGATTCCAGTCCGAATTGGGCCTCGATTCCACTTAATACTGGTGTTGCCGCTGCGACTGGTCCTCCTTTTCTACTTCTTCCAGTATGTCTTTCATTATTTTAGGTTATAAATAGTGGAAATGCAAAAAAATGTGTTTTTTGGAAATTTAGTCGATAGTATTTTGTAGTTAGTTATTCATGTTTGAAATTTTTCATCAGGTATGAGAAAGATGGAAAGCCATCCGAGCTATCTTCAGTGGACGTGTTTGTGACTACTGTGGACCCCATGAAAGAACCTCCCCTTATTACAGCAAACATGATTTTGTCAATACTTGCTTGTGACTACCCAGTCGACTAGGTCGCATACTATGTATCAGATTGCCGCCACGTGGCAAAAATTTGCTTGTGAAGGTGGGTTGGCTCTTACTTTGCTATTTTCTTTCCCATTTCTCCTGCCCACTTTTTTCGAGCCTTTCAGCTCATATTTGATGTTTGCCGACTTTTTTTGTGATCTCCCCGACGTCGTCTGCTGCGACTGCAAGAACGACTTCGTCCGGAAAGCCACCATACCGTTAAGACAAACCTCAGGTCAAATCTGTAAGATCCTGTGAAACCCACCTCAAGAATTATATTTTTGCTAATTTTTCTTTTTTATTTTGTTTTGTAAATTATGTCTAAATGTGGTCAGTTCACATTGGGCCGATAATGGAGAAAAGATTCGGTGCAGACCCAAACCAGAAGGCTCGGGTTCTACTGCGTGATGTGATGGAGAAGATGAAGCCATTCTTAATGGCATATGAAGGGATTCAAAGAAGAGTGGGAGGTGAAGCAGCACCTATATTTATTCATATTATTTATTGTTACTATTATTTCATTGCTTCAATGTTTGTTATGAATCTTTAAGTGATGTTTTTGTGGAGTTAAATGTGTCTAGACATATATTTGAAACCTAATCTCCCAACACCCAATTCCAAATACAAATTTCCGAAATCCAAAAAGAATAGGTAAAAGTTACACTTTTAGCTATGAATTTGTTCGAATGAAAATCTGCCCTAATAATTAGTTTAATCTTTGTAATAAAAGAATGAGTAAGCACAAGAAAGAAGTAGGTATGGAGAAAGCTGAAAATGATTTAGCTGCCGTGATGGATCAACACAAGTCATGCATAGTAAAAGAGCTGCATGGAATAGACTTTTGGAAGCTTAGATGAGCTTATTTTCCTGGGGTACACATAATTAACTATTTTTCCACTGATTATTATTGAAGCTGCATTAGGTTCCAAGGCCTTATTGTTTCCCCTTACATGTTTTAGATTCAGGAATATGTTGAAGCTGCTACACTTTGCAACTTTTGTAAAAATGGTACACTTTTGAATCTTGATGGGATCAATACTTCCTTGCTACCTCTAAGCGACCCATCGGTCGAGCCTTTGCAGATTAGTGTGCTTTGCTATGTATTGGGGTTAATTGTTCCGAACATTTCTTTACTTAAGAATGTTTTCAAAAAAATGTTTTTCTGGATTTATTTAAGAGCAAAAAAAATTGTTTTACATTTATTTAAGTAAGAGCAGAAAATACTTGTGAGTAAAATTTAGGACGTGTTTGCTGAAACGAGTCGCGAATTTCAATACATGAATTCATTATCTAATAATATTTTGGTATGAATTTATAAAATGCCACTTAGAATTCATCTGTAATGAACTCGCATCTTGGGGTTGCTTCCATTCTCTGGTGTTGCATCGGGATGAGAAGTAGACATGACGAGTCCTGATGATATCTTAGTTCACCCTTTAAAAAATCGAGAAAGACAACGTAGGTACAGGGCCACAAAACGTCACCAAGCTGATATGAGAAAGATCATGTGAGTTGTTAAACAGTTCTGACCATTAGAGTAATTTTAATGTTCCTCCTGAGATTTTATTTATTTATATTTTTTTCCTTGCATTCTGACTGTGTCAGTTAGAGGGTGTATTCAGAAATTAGATTTAGTATGAGTTACTCAATTTAGGTAATAGTATGAATCCTGGGAAGGTTTAGGGGTAATTTGAGGAAGAAGAATGGAACTTGGTGCCTATTAATTGGTTGTTGTGAGGGTGGGACTTGATAGCCGATTGGAATTATTGAATGTTCAAAAGTGGTTGGAAAAGTTCCTCTTTGGAAGATTTGTAAAGTGATGGTCATAACGCTCACCTCATCCTAATTATGCACTTTTTCACTTGATTGTTGCACTAATTATGCCGTGTTGACTTTAATTCCCAAAATGTGTGTATTCCAAATCAGTGTTTGTTAATGGGTTGTCCTTTAATCTGATGAAAAACCAGAATTTTTCATGTTGAAAGCTATTGAAAATTATAAAAGAAGCTTATGTGGGATGGTATCTTCTCTCATGACTGCTCATATAAATATAGATTCGAATAAACACTCTGCAATTCAACTCAACTTACATCAATTACATTACTGAGAGATGCATATATTTGTTTTCTCCACTATTTTCGTATAACAGAAATTAGGCCTGCTATGGACAATTTGGCGAGCGTTTATAAGAGCATGAAAGTAGCAGGAGTCAATATATTATTGTTATTGATAGAGATTCAAGTGCGTAAAACACTTCGTCAAGAGAAGACCCTAAGTAGCTGGATTCTTGACTTCCACTCGATTGGTTCGCTTGTTCGACCGTTGTCACTCAGGGGGCGTCTACCAAAATATCTGGTAATTTTTCTTATTCATAATAAAGGATTTTTAGATCAACATTTGATGGATGGTGGATGTTGATTTCTTAATTTCAGTTTTGGTTTTTTATTTCTTATTTTTTCTTGGATTACAGAAAGGAAAAAATCCTCTAAAATGACCTGCAAAATGTTCTTATCCTGACAGTGGCCCATTATTTTCTTTATGCATAGCTGAAGAAACTCAAACTGGTGTTGATATACGCCAGGTCCAAGATAATGGCGAAACCGAATTGCAAAACTTGAACTGCACAGTTAAAAAACAACTTTAAAGAAAAGGGTCAAAAAGCACAACAGTGAGTTCCCAGAGATCTTCTCAGTCAAACCAGGAGAAACCTTCATTTCCAACCAAGAAAAGGGTCCAGGTACCACTGTCAAACTTCTGGGGCCCCAACTGATCAAAACAAGCTGATCCACTTTGATGGATTATGCATTCGAATTGGTGATTAGTTTTTATAAATCTGTTTATGTTTGGTATTTAGTTTGCATGGTATCTCTTTTCTGGTTTCTTATCATGAGCTTCAAATTAGTTATTCCCAGTATGGCCATCCTGTTGTGTTAACAAATGAAAGCTTTAATGATTTTAACCCCTATTTCCTTTTTCCTTTAGAAAATAATATTCTTGTGTAACTTAGTTGAACTTGTGTTATTGCATCAGGCAAAGTATGTTGGTCACTTAAAAGATTGATTGTTCAAAAATTTATTCGTGAAAGTGAGCCTGATGAAACCTCAAAGAATGCTTTAGTATTCTTTCTATTGCATATTTCTTTAAAAGAATGACCCGACTGCTTGTTTTATGTTCCATGCAGATAGAAAACAGAGATTTTATATAGTTTCTGCCTTGTCCGAGACAAAGGTAGACCTAAAAGGTATAAATACCTTAACGACTAAACTGGCCTCCCTGTCTTTTCTATGCTCCATTCTCTAATGGTGAAAATCAATTGGTAGAATTTCTTATATAATTTTACATCTCTCTGGGTTTAGGGAAAGGGGGTCTAAGAATGGCTCCAGAATAAGCACTTGCGAAAATTCTTCAGGTTCTGTATCATTCTTATGTTGATTTATGTTGTGTATGTGTGTCTATGTCTGTTGTGGTCTTATTGTTAGGATTCTAAATATTGACCTAGGCCTGAACACTTCCTAATTCTAAATATTGTTAGGATTCTAATTTTACTACTGATAAGCATACGGACTATATATACTCTTCACAATCATATAATGCTAAAAACAATTATGGGTAAGCAGATTGTTTTGAGATTTATCTTCATAGGTTCTCCTTTGTGGTGCAAAGGTATCAGCAAAAAAGTTCTATTGGTTACTTGTAGTTGGTTACAATTTTACATCTTGTTGCAGGCACAAAGTAGTGACAGATGAATGTAACAGTTGCTTTTGGATGAGGACATGTGGAGGGATACCCCATCCATATTTGATTAGCAGTGTAGTTTATATTTGTTTATTAGTTGGAGTTGTGAACAATAACAAGATATCTGTTGGTTTGTTTTTTACCATTTTAAATCAACTCATATTTTGCACTCTCTTATGACTGATCAATTTGATATTGCATTTTAAGAATATGTATTTTTGGCTTCATTTCATCTATTTGAGTAATATTTTTACAGTGTAATTTGTAGTGTTTGCTTGATCCTTGCACACAATAATGTATATATATTCTGCTCAGTGAGGTGAGGTGAACAATTTTACGGAATATCTGACATAATTAAGAACAGTAAATGATGGCACAGAACATATTAAGGAATGATTATAGACTAATTACAAAAAAATACGTACATTTAACTGACACTAAATTTTAACTTGATTATCAACTCATTTGAGGCGGCTGTGCGTGCACAGCCGGAAGTCAACTAGTATATATATATATATATATATTTTGTATTGTATCTATATCATATCAATAATTAATACTTTTTTACATGTGAATAATCAACATACAACTTATAATAAATATATATTTTTAACCATTCAAATTTAATAGTTTAAACATTATCTCGTCACCATGCAACACTTGCATAATAGAGAAAATAAAAAATTGTAATCTCATGCAACCGTTACAAACCCAAAATGTAATAAAAGATAGGTGGATAATTGTATGAAACAAATTACAAGAATAAATAAATAAATAAAATATGTTGTAACAATTTTTAAAGAGAGTCATAAAGATTTTTATTAAATGAACTATATTTTTATTAATTGTTGAATGAGTAAAATTTAATGAAGTTTGCCAGCAATTATATATACTGCAAAGATGGTTTCTCGGAGTATCTTGCCAGCAATTTTATAAAATTTAGTGGAGTTTAGACCCGATTTTCGGAGTATCTTGGCAAAAGATGGTTTCTCGAAGCATAGATGCATGATATTTTTTTTGTCCTGCAGGTTAATAAACCATAGGCATACAAGATGGAGGATTAGAATCGGAGATTTGGGTGTTTAATGAAGAGGAAGGTAAAAACAAAAGCATACCATATAAGTGTGATGTTATTTTATAACCTTTAACTTAGTTTGTATATTATTTTTGAACTAATTTGCAGGAATGAAGATGAGGAAAGGTTTTGGAGTCTCTCTATTATGGTTGGTTTTTATGCTTGCTCAGGAGTGAGGAGTCGGAATAGAATCTTTCTGCTGTCTTCTGTTCTTGTTCATTTTTTTTATTTTTTTTTCGTTTTTAGTTGAACATGATAAATGTTCTCCTTTATGAACAGATTCTTTGACTTTATACTCAACAAGACTCTTGAGTTCTTGCTTTAGGTTGTAGTATCCTGAATCTCCTATACCTTTATTTTTTTTTTCCTTTTGTGTTGCACACTTGTTTGCTAAGAGGGATTGTGATCTGCCTCGGCAAGATTGATTGTCTCCTATAATTTGTCGCATACTCCTAATTTTGTATAAATGTTGCAGCACACGAGTATGATCGGCCGAAATAAGAACGATTTGGGTCCTTAAGCAGTTTACAGATTTTTTAAATTAATTTCATGAGATGTATATTCTGCTAAAACTGGTTATTAATTAGGAGGATTTGTTTTTGAGTTTTTTTTTTTCCTGAAGCACTGTTACTCTTGCATTGATCAGCTTTGAATTTGGCGGACTCTGATTAGGTGAAGTTAGTTTGAATTATAGTTTACTGGAATCTTGTTCCTTGTACAATCAATCAAGTAAACTCCATACCTTAGACTACAGTACACATAACTACATATTACTACTCCAGTAGCTCCTTGAAGTGACAGCAACTGATGGAAATGCAGTAATCCAGACATTCAGATGACTAAATAAAAATATAAACCAAACCATATCACAGTTACTATAAATGGCTGCAATACATACTAGATAATGAGAACCATCATGAGCAGAAATGCAATATATAAATGCTCTTGAACAACACAACATATATATATCAGTAATGAAGGAATATAAAAACGAACAAACTATATATGCCAGCTAATCACTGACTAACTACCGGCAATCAATGGGGCTGTCGAAGAATGATCCTGCCAGAAAAAGCTGCCATTGTCGGGCAGGTTATCCCATAGGAAGTGATGGTCTGCAGGAAGTTCAAAATCAAAGAAGTCGAGCAACTCTTTCTCGAAACTTGGATCATCACACAATAAGGGCCCACTTTCGTCAACAGGCTTCTCATCATACATCATACTCTCCTCCAGTTCATGGATCCAATCATCATCATCATCGCCACCTGGACTCGAATCACCCTCTTCTCGATCAGGACAATCAGCAGCAACATCAGCACCCTTAATGACGTCATCATGTTGATCTTCCATAACACTCTCCTCTAGCTCATGTATCCAATCCTCGTCTGTGATCTGTACTTGTTCCGGGCCCACATATCCAAAATCCACATCATCGCCTTGATCCCGACAATCAGAAATAGAAGCCACAACGCTGCATGAACAAGAGGAATCCACGCCAGAATCACCCAATCCACTCCCAACACGTGGCTTATTAACAATCTTCTTGGTTTTCTTCTTGAGAACACACAGCGCGAAATTCTTGTACTCTTCTTTGATGCACTTGATGGCGGTATCCGGAAGCACGTATTCTGTCATCAGCCACGAACCCTTGTCTGAATTACTCATAGCCTTGGTCTGGTAACGGAAAGTTCTCCGGTAACCAATGATGACACGTCGGTCGAGAGAAAGAATGGGAGTGGCCTGGCCTTTGTTGGTCCACGTGCCCTTTCCCAAGTTCCGGGAAAACCGGTGGCCGCCCGCAGTCTTTTTGGTGAGACTGCTGTACAAGTAACGCCTCGTTGTTTGATGGTCGTCTCCGAAAATCTGCCAGGGTTCCCTGTGGCCGTAAAGATGGTCGGTCTTGATAGAATTGTCGTCTCCAGCGAGGCCGGTGACTCTTTTGAGAAGGAAGGTGATGATTTCGTGGTCTGTGGGTTCGAAGTGAACGCCAAAATCCAACGCCGCCATCGATTGCAGTTTTTTTCTTAGCTAAGTTGTTTGCGCTGGGGATTGATAGACAACAATCTTTATATATAGGCGACTTTGATCAACCTTTGATATGCTTTAAATGGGCTTTGACTGCTGTCCAATCTCAAAATATGTAACAATTAACCCTAGCCCAACATAGTTCAAAGTTAAAACTATGTAACAATGTGTAATTCGACATTGACTTGGTCAACCCACACATCAATCGGTTTGAATAAAAAAAAAAATCTACACTGTTGTATAAATTTATAAATTATTTGATTTTGGGGAAAGAGAACATGAATAGCGTCGTATATTTCGTAAATGAAATATCCGACTCTAATATTATATATTTATTGTATGTTTCAAACAAGACTAATGTAGAAAATATATTTTTTGATGATGCATTTACCCAATAAAATAGTACAATAAATATGCCAAATTAAAACTAAGGGCCGTGTATTCGTTTGAAATTTTGAGTGACATTTTGAGACTTTTCAAAATTTTATATTTTCTAACATATTCCTATTAGGAGGAATTCTATGAAATCTTAAATATAAATGTGAGATTTAGAGTGAAAAATTTATGTAGTTTTTTTTCTAAAATATAAGTGAATCTTAAAATGCCATAACAAATTTTAGTCTCAAATCCTCATGATTTTGTATGATTTTTAAAATGGAAGGTTCTTAGATACAAACGAAACGAAACGAAACGAAGTTCAGTGTTAATCTATCTTTTCTTCCTCCTGCGCCAATAGGTAATTTCCAAACAAGCCAATAGCAGAAAAAAGAGTATCTCGAGACTTTTATAAGCTACATGCGTATGTATGAAATTAAAATCATAATTTTCATAATGAGATTATTATATTATATATTATATATTATAAAAATGAGCTATATGAATATAAAATATTTAGCTTACATATGAATTATTATATTGATTGCTATAATGTTTTGATATATTGAGTGACCATGACCAATTAACAGATGGAAAAAATATTATAACTATCTATATTACAGTTTAAAATTGAATTTTAAGGGGTTTGATTATGGGATAAAACATTATTAACTCGTTTGTTGATGTCGGAAATCGAACGATCAACTGTTAAATAAAAATCCAGTTGTGATGCCAAAATGAAGAACAAAATCAACAAAAATGGAATTTCTTTGTATATTTTTTGAGAGTCTCTCTCTCTCTCTCTCTCTCTCTCTCTCTCTCTCTCTTGTTGTGTGGGAAGGAAAATAAAGAATGAAAGGAAAAAAGTCCCTTTCTCTCTCCTCCCCATTCCATATATATACATCCCTCACTTTTACAAGTGGTGTGATGCCAAAATGAAGAACAAAATCAACAAAAATGAAATTTCTTTGTATATTTTTTGAGAGTCTCTCTCTCTCTCTCTCTCTCTCTTGTTGTGTGGGAAGATAAATGAAGAATGAAAGGAAAAAAGTCCCTTTCTCTCTCCTCCCCATTCCATATATATACATCCCTCACTTTTACAAGTGGGTCATTGAATAAGTAAAAATGGTACATTATTATCTAATGGAGATAATCATCGTGGGACCCGCTTATGATGTTTGACGGCTTCGATTGACATCTATCTGAGGTGGCTTCTGGCTGATCAGTCTCAAGAACCTGTCTGTATATTTATTTCGTCGTGTATTTTCGGCTCTTCGGTTATTGGCCCATTCTTTATTAGTCCAGTTATTATTTAATTAATTGGAGCCAAATTGGGTATCAACTTCATTTTAATAAAAAAATAGTTAATGAGTTGAAAAGAAAGATAATTTTAATTGTGAATAAATAGTTAAGGAAGAAATAATTGCGAATTTTTTATAGTTATATTGTTCCATATATCATTTAATCATGTGACTTCATGATTAGTTAGTAGTAGCTATTATGTAATAAAGTACATAAAAAATATTTGATTAATGCAAAATGTAATAGTTAATGAAAAATTAGTGGGAAAATATATATATATATATATATATATATATTACGCACACATATATAAATATATGTATATATATAATTTATGCATATATATATATATATTAATATTTATTGAAATGTAAAGAATAGTTTATATAATCCAAATTCAAAAATATATTCTGTGAAAATTTATTGATTGAAATTTATAGTCTATTAACAATATCAAATAATACAACACATTAACAATCATTATATATTATTTACAAAAATATAACTTGAAGTTTAAATTGAACTAGTATTCAAGTATTAATTCATATACATGTTTGTAGCATAGAAGATAAAGATAAACGACAAACAATCCTGGGGTGTGAGAACTATCATGAATAATGATAAAAAAAATTATTAATATTATAAATATTGTTAATTTTATATTTATTATGACAAATGGTACCAATTTATTAGTATTATACTTTAAATGAAATTTATGAGTGGTACCAATTTATATATGTTATCTTTTCTCATATTCAAATATAAATTTATTAATAATATTATTAGTATTATTAGAATACAAATATGTATAGTTATGGTTTGAAGTGAAAGCCGAATTATTTCATTCCTTCTTCTATTCCTTCAGATTTACTTTATCTTTATAGGATCTGAGTATCTTGATTAAGAGTTCAGATTTACTTTATGTTATAGGATGTGAGTATCTTGATTAAGAGGTACTACAACAGTGATGTGTAGTCTGGGTATGGAATGCTTAATGATTCGGTTGCTATTTAAGTTGGTACTACAACAGTAATTAATATGTAAAAAAGTTGGTATTACAACAGTAATTAATATGTAAAAGTATTAGTCTGTGTAAAAGTTATGTGTAGTCTGTGCAAGATATGGAATGCTTTAAGTTTAAGATAAGATGATGTGGAATGCTTTAAGTTTAAGATAAGATGGTACTGTAATTATGTGGTTAATCAATTTTCTCCCAAAAAACTCTAATTGAAACCAAGTTCACCTAATCACATTAACCAAGTTCACCTAAGATAAGATGGTACTGTAATTATGTGGTTAATCAATTTTCTCCCAAAAAACTCTAACTGAAACCAAGTTCACCTAATCACATTAACCAAGTTCACCTAATCACATTCTGCCAAATTCACAGGCAAAAACGCAAAACACAAATGCACCTAATCACCACTATTTTAGCTGGACATACATACATCTCATAAAACTAACTTGAAACATACAGTAAGTAAGCTGCTTAAAGAACCAAATTCTTCTTATTTCCACCGTTTGCACTCGAGTACAGCAAACATTTATTCGAATTACAATACTGATTCCCCGAATTACAACAGTACTAGCACGATACGCACACACACACACAGATTGCAAATCCCCACACTTGAGTTAACAGTATATCATCGAAAAACATATGACCAAGAAAAGGCTATTTATTTAACTTGGCTTGTTGGTTTGCGCCCACCCCAAATGGAGGCGGATGTTCGAATTACTTTCCCGGTCAAGCATAGCATCCAACAAGGTTGACCGGGTCATCGGTACCCACTCTGCAAGAGTCTCGTCAAAAGCCTCCACACTTACTTTCTCGAGATCACACTGCCCAAACATACTACGGTTGGGAACAAAACAATCTTCTTTCACCTGCACCAACCTCTTTAGAAGTATTGCCAATATATCGTTTTTAACATTCACTTTAATCCACAACTGGGGCAGCTGGCATTGAGATATGAACTTAGGGCAACAGCTCCAAAACAAACAACCCAAGAGTGATGAACAAATCGAAGATGGGGCATCCATCATCAGCAGCATCAAATTCTCCACCACAGGCCTACGCGAGCCTTCCATATCCCCCACATACTCAAAGTTCTTCTGTGAGATAAGCCCGATATTGAAAGATAGAGAAATTCTCGACCGGCTCAACTTCTTCAGAAACTTCTTCAACCGAACGAGAGAAAGAGTCCCGGGCTCACCATGCAGTACGGATATTTCGGATTCCCATTCACTTGAAGTTTTCTGAAATGTCAGGGCAGGCAAGCACGAACCCGAAAACCTAAACTTACGAAGCCTTGGGACATCGAATTTGGCCCAAAACTCGTTCTTATCGCCCCAGCTCACGCGCTCAAGTGTCGGGCTCGAAATATGGGCTTGTTTGTCCCAGATGCATTGATGAACAGTCAAATCCACGAGGAATGGGAATTTGGACGAGAAGTCGCTGAAAAACGACTTACCGATATCAACCATCTCCAAATACAAGCGCACGAGGTTACGAAACTGGTATGGATTGGTCCTCCTGTAAATCAGTGGCCCAACGTCTTCTTTCCTGAACTCATTAAGGTAATTAAACGGCATGAAATTGGTCATTTTTCCACCACTTCTCGTCTGATATTGTGAACACACGCATTCGGACAGTATCAACTGCTCAATCAGTGGGCAGCTTCTGATTATATCCCAAATTGTATCACCTTCAACCAACACCTTGGATAAATTGAGAGATTTAAGTGCAGAGCAGCTCACCTTTCCTTCAACCCCTCGATCGATTTCGCAATTCACCATAGATAAGGTGTATAGGGTTTCGGATTCAAACACCTCTGGCGGTAACAGAAGCGGCGCCCCTCGACCCGAGATTTCAAGATGAAGAACGGTGGCGCCCATTTGCAGAGCTTTCACAATCAACTCACTGGCGAGAGATCGATTCCACCCTCGGCCGGTCGCTTGCGAGCCGCCCATCCACAGGCTCAAGCTCTCGATCTTCCGGCCGATGGCTTCGTACCTCCGCATCGTCCGCCGCGAGTACTCCACGAACACGTCCGCCGCGCCGGAGACATTCCTGCGTGGATTGGAGAAGTGACGCTGGTCGAGATCCAGATTTGGGTGGGTGTACCAGGCGGCGTACCATGATTTGGAAAGGACGCTGGTCTGCGCAATTTCCTTTCCGTCGAGGAAGGACTGTATGTGCTGAATTATGGCTTCCGGAAGCTGGGTTTCGCCGTCTCCGGCGGTTCTGCGCTTCTCCATGAGAGGTTTTTTCTTGGCTGTGAGAGAAAAAAATTGGGGATCTCACGGTGGTTTTTGTCCTTGTGTTCCGCCGTGTTTATAATGCAGTGACAGGTGTAAACTGCAAAGTGAGAACGAACTAATATTCATTATTCAGTTAAGTATGATTAAATTAAATTAACTAGTTAATTAACTAATTAACTAATTATTGAATTAGTTCAGTTGTGGTCCCTTAGCTTTAATTCCAGAAGTCATATTTTTTATTTTTTATTTTGATGGGTGATTCCACAAGTCATTTTTTCAACCTAAGCTAGTTGAGTTGTATCACACTTTTACTTCCGATTTTTAGGATCATTTTAGAATCTGTAGTTTTCAAATATCAATTTATAGCATCAACTATGGAAAAGGTTCAATAATAATGGAATCTTTATTTTTTTTGATGAAGACATGCACTTTTATCATTATTTAGTTTAATAGATGCTAGTGCATACTCGTGCGATGTACGAGTAAACAATATTAAACAATAATTATAAATAGGTTTCGAGTTCGAGTCACGTAAGTGAGGAACCACTATTGATGCCTTTTTAAAAGAGAATTATGATGTCACGTGCGAAAATTTGAGTACGCAAGGTTTCAAAAGTTATTATTGTTATTATTACACTGAGTAATCCGTGCTATGCACGACTGTTATTATTTATGGAATTTATAAATTTATTTATTTTTATATAGCGAAGCCTGTCTATTTTTTTTTTTAGAAAAAAAAAACTTGAAACCCAATTATACTCCACAATATAATGTACTCAACTAAACTGGTCGGGTCAAACTTAACGGGCCAATAACATATTATTGAATGGACCCAAATAAAGCCCAACCATGAAAGCAGACCGAACATTAAGTGCGACCCAACATCTCAACCCGTTATGGCTTAAAGGAATAGATCAGACGGTTTGAATTAGTTAACCGATATCTAACGGTCATAAATCAAAGATGTCATCTAAAAAAATTAAAAATATCCAAACTATTAGAGTTATGTCATTTATTCTCCTCCTCTCACCGCTTTCCTTCTCTATTCTCTCTCTTATAGCATTTCTAAAAACTTGATAAAATATTCTTTCAAATTTTCACAAAAATGCTCCATTTTTAAAACAATCAATCACATCTATTGCGAGTCGATTTCTTATGTTAGATATATCGATATTATATCTTGTCTTTATGTTTAGAAAGATACCTCTATTATTTTATTTCTTTTGGTTGTTATATTTTTTTGTGTGTTCTAAGATTTTATGTTTGTTTTTTGGTCGAAACCGATGAAAGACTGACTCTGTTATTACTATTTCGACCATTTCAAAAGCTTTTTCTTTTTAATATGGAGACTTATGTAGTTTGTTGTTCAATTATTTTGATTCATATTGCTTTTTTTTAGTAGATTTTAGAAATTTCGTAAGTTTAATGGACGGATCTAGAAGAATTTTTTATTTTCGGTTAAAATCCGAATTTATTCAGTCGAAAAAAATGAATATCAGAAATGAAGTCTCATTTTCTGTTTGAATCTCTATTTGTTTTAAAAAATGTTACAAATCTTAGTCGGTTATATAAATTTTGACTGTATTTTGAAATTTAATTTGAAATAAGGGTCTTAATCTGTAAAAATGTGTTCAAATCTTTTATGAATGAACAAATCCCACATTTTAAGGGCAACATTTAATGCTGCCCGATTTTTTTGTAAGAAAATAAAAAAAAAAAGTTGCCAAAAGTGGCAAGTAATTAATGCAGATGGAATTTTGACCAAAATTTGACTTACTATTTTCGAAAAATATTAATTCTTATTATATATATATATATATGTATACTTTTATCAGCATTTTTATGGAGAAAAATATTTTATAAATTTATTACTTATAAATTTCTTGAAGAAATAAATTTAACTAACTTCTGAAACTCTCAAAAGGATTACACTCTAAAAATTCGGTCTGTATTTTTACTCACAAGCCCAACTATGGCAACTCATTCTTGCTCTCTCTAACAGTCTTAACTTCAGAATAGTCGTATCCTTTGACCTTTGTTATACTGTTAATTAGGGGACAGCTTTTTTCAAGTATTTATTGTGGTTTATAATTTGGTTAGAACTTAAGACGGTAGCCAATTGGCTGACAAGTGACAGGTGCGAAGTGACAACGAACTAATATCACGTTAAAGTATGATTGATTAATTAAGACGGTAGCCAATTGGCGGGCTTCGGTGTTGTTGAAGGACGGGTTGTGGGTCTGATTGTCGAGTGTCGGTGGTCCAGGCGGAGGTTGGCGCGCGTCCTCCCCTTTGTTCCCTTCTCTCCTAGCGCTAGGGATGAAAAGACGGCCGGTGTACATGTCGGGCCCTGACCTGTAGTGTGGGTTTCTGTTCGTGATAAGTCGTATTTTTGACATGTTACTTGTCATGTTTTCCATACTCTTTCGGGGTCTGTTCGGTTGTCCTCTGGATCGTCTGGGTGCAGGGTTGGGGTCTTGGGTTTCGTCTTCAGTTAGGCATGTGTTGCAGTTTCTCGATATGAAATTTGGGTTGTGGTCCGATCTGTTTGGTGGTCGGTCGTGGTGTCACCGTCGAGTTTCGCTTGGTGCGGTTGTCTAGCTGAGAAAAGGGATTTAGTATATGATTATTGTGTTTGTGTAAGTATTATTGTGTGCGTTGTGGTGTTTAGGCTCTCTTCTGGGGTGTCCTCCCACTCATTCGAATTTTGGCTGAGTTTTAGTCGTAATTATGTATTCTATTTATAAATTCCTATCATTGAAAAAAAAAAATAGTTGAGTGGTATCTTACTTTACTTTTGATTTTAGAATATGTAGTTCTCAAATTTTGATTTATACCCCAACATGGAGAAAGTTCAATAAAAATGTAAACTATATTTTCGATTTTCGAAATCATTTCAGAATCTATAGTTTTCAAATTTCAATTATCACCTTTTTTTAACAATAAACATAATTACAAAATAAAAAACAGCTACGGAACTAAATCTAGTTGAAGGCGTACACAACTAGTAGCCTATAAACCAACAAACTAACAACACAAAAACATAAAAATTCCTACAAGTGGAGAATAAAATGTTAAAAACTACCAAACGAGAAAATAAGAACACAAAAACACACAAAAACAATAGGAAGAAAAGAATCTAATAACAATATAAAACTCTCCACACCAGGCAAAAAAATCTGAACCATCACAACTCGAACCAGCACCCAAGGCTAACACACAAGAAGGATCGGCCCACGAACCAAACACAAAGATCTGGGAAAATTTCTCTACAGCTAACTAGATCCTGAAATAGGACTTCATTTAATATAAATATTCATGACCAGCATTCAAATGACAGTTACACAAGTAAAATCTTATTAATATTAATCTGTAACAACATTATAAGATTTTAAATTTTTTAAATATGCAATATTTAATTATTTACAGCTAATATTCCTATTTTGTATCATAGTTATACAAGAACAAAAAAAACAAAAAATTGATTTATATGGAAGTCAAAAAAATTATATTTATATTATACATTTAAATGTAGTCAAATTTTAAAATGTAATACACACATTATCTAATTTATGTTTTAAATATCATATACGTACATATAATATATAAATTTTTGTTTCCTTCTGTGCATGTGCACAAGATCGAATACTAGTTAATGTGTATATGTGCAATATTTTAAACTTTATAAAATATAACGGTTGTTTTTATTATATATTTTCAATCATAATATTCATTGAAATCTATTATTTTCAACATCATAATATCATTCAAGCGTTTTTCATGTTTAGCTAAGTCGTCGTGACATAAATTTCTAGAATAGTATAAAGATTGCATTTTAATTTATAAAAATATTAAAAATAAGATAAAGAAATGTTTTGAATAATTATTGTATGGATTAAAAAATAAAATGGAATATATAATCCTTCAAATTACTTTTTAAATAAAGTGTAAAATAATTTTATGATGATTTTTAAGAATAATTACTGACCAAGTTTTAAAACTCAACACTCAAATTTGCTCATGAAATCTGAGGAAGGAAGTCAACAAAAGAAGAAGAAAAGAACATCACAATCCAAAGGAAGATTATTACGTTCAATTTATTCATTTATTCAGCCACTTCAATCTTCAACAAGTTCCATTCAACTTAGCATTATTTTCTTACATATAGTCACCAAATAAAAAACCCTAGACAATTTCAATAGCCTAAATACATTTTCTTTTTAGCTAGCAACTTAGCCGCAACCCGAAGCGCGTCGACAAGAACACCCACAACCGCGCTATCTTCATTCCACGGTGATCCCTTAACAAACTCGGCCTCACAACTGCTGACGCCGGCAAGAATGTCGCCGGATTTTTTTTCCACGTCAGTATAACGTTTTGCTGTGAGGTCAACTTTGGCTGCTTTGAACATGGGCAATACAGTGTCTTTGTAGATCTTTACACACACATCATAGTGGGCCTTGACATTGGGGTCTGTCGCCTTTTTGGAGAGGGACTCTATAGTGGTTTCAGTGATGAAGGCTCTGAAGTTGGATAGCTCAACAGCGATTTTCGGAATGTTTTCTAAGGGTTCCTTTTTCACACTCTCGTTGAAAGTTATGGACTTGATGCACAACGACGGGTTGTTGGTTTGATTGCACACGTCGTCTACTGGGGCGGCGTTTATTGTGAGGAAGAGAGAGGGTGTGGAAAGGAAGATGATGAAGAGGAGAGAGAAGGGAGCCATTATTTTATATGGTGCTAGTTTGAGTTTTGTGTTCTAATGTGTTTGTGATGGGATGAGTGTGGTTTATATAAGGCTCATTTTCATGTGGTATTGTAATTTTGAGGTAGAGATGGAAGTAATATCAAATATGGATTGATGTAACTTGTTAAAATTGTACATTGAAAAAAAGGTTTTGTTGTGTAAAGTGGCTTTGAGAAAGGTTTATTGACTTGACTAATGTCGATTTATATTGCCAAATTTTTTTAGGGTCCTTTTTGTGTTTTCTTTTTCCTTCTTTGAGAAATGTCATGGGTTTGTATAATATGTAGACGATCTTAATAAACCTCACCTGGACAATTTGTTGTAATTTAGATTGTGGTCCCATGAAGATGGGTAGAGATTGTACAATATTGTAATTTAGAAGTTCTTGTATTACAATAAATATTGATATTTAAAAAAAAAGGATTTGCCCATAAAAGTTAAATATTCTCTAATATATTTATGTAGTTATGATAATTTATAAAAACAAGATTAACAAAATGAGAATAACTTCCACCAGTTTTGATTTATGCGTTAAAAAACTTGAAGTTGTTATAAAAACGAGAAAGATAAAGAACACAAAATAGAAACCGGATAGAAATTATACTGAATATTTCTTTCTTCTTTCTTTCTTTCAATGATGCAAATTTTCTCTACACTTGGAGTGCCTTTTATAGGCAAAACTCTCCCGACACAATTCACATCAATTATTAATATCCATACCCCATTTCACTATTCCCATAACATCAAATAATGGAGTGAGATTATTTTGTGCATAGTGGTTTATTCCACTTGTACATATTATAACACTCCCCCTTGGAATAACCACTATGCAATGTGCGTTTATGCTGCCTCATTAAAAACCTTATTCGGAAAACCCTGTGGGAAAAAAACCGAGATAAGGAAAAAAGAGTACAGCCGCACATGCTCCCCCTCGAGTTATCATCCGTGTAAATCTCGAAGATGTCTCATTCCAATGTTATGGACGTGCTTTCGAAATATTGTAGTTGGGAGCGCCTTCGTAAATAAGTCTGCTGCATTATCACATGATCGGATGTATTGAATCTTGACCTGTTTGTTCCTTTCAAGCTCTTGAGTGTATGAGAAGAACTTTGGTGGGATATGTTTTGTTCTGTCACTCTTGACGTATCCTTCTTTGGTCTGAGCGACACATGCTGCATTGTCTTCGAATATGACCGTCGGATCTTTATTATTTGATAATCCACTGGCTTGTTGAATGTGTTGAGTCATATTTCTGAGCCAGATGCTCTCCCTAGTTGCTTCATGCAGTGCAATGATTTCAGCATGGTTTGAAGATGTAGCAACTAGTGTTTGTTTCTGAGAACGCCAGGAAAATGCAGTTCCACCAATAATGAAAACGTAGCAAGTCTGAGATCTCGCCTTATGTGGGTCTGACAAATATCCTGCATCTGCAAAACCGATCATTTCATGTTTTTTATCATTTGAGTAAAATAATCCCAGATCGATTGTTCCTTAGAGATAACGGAATATATGCTTGATTCCATTCCAGTGTCTCCTTGTAGGTGACGAGTTATATCTTGCTAACAAGTTGGTAGCAAAAGATATATCTGGTCTGGTGCAATTAGCAAGATACATTAGAGCTCCTATTGCACTCATCTATGGTACCTCAGGACCAAGTATTTCTTCATTTTCTTCACAAGGCCGAAATGGATCATTTTCAACATGTAATGTTCGGTTAACCATCGGAGTACAAAGGGGATTAGCTTTGACCATATTGAATCGTTTCAGTACTCTTTTAGTATAGTTAGATTGATGGACAAATATCCCATTCTGTACTCTCTCTATCTGTAACCCGAGGCAATATTTGGTTTTTCTGAGATCTTTCATTTCAAATTTGCCTTTCAGAAAAGTGACTGCTTCTCGAATTCATTTGCTGTCCCAATAATATTAAGATCATCAACATAGACAGCAATTATCACAACTCCATCATGTGATTTCCTTATGAAAACACACGGACATATTTGATCATTCAAGTATCCCCTTTTTAGTAATTGTTCACTCAAACAATTATACCACATACGCCCGGATTGTTTTAAGCAATACAATGATCTTTGCAACTTTAACGCACATAACTCCTTAGGTTTTGAGTTCAGTGCTTCGGGCATTCTGATTCCTTCTGGGACTTTCATGTATATGTCGGTGTCTAATGATCCATACAAGTAAGCAGTCACAACATCCATGAGACGCATCTCAAGATTTTCATGGGTAGCTAAACTCATCAAGTATCTGAAAGTAATTGCATCCATGACAGGGGAATATGTTTCATCATAATCGATCCCAGGCCTTTGGGAGAATCCCTGTGCAACAAGGCGAGCTTTATATCTCGTGATCTCATTATTCTCATTTCTTTTTCTGGTGAAAACCCATTTGTATCCAATGGGTTTTATGCCTTTTGGTATAATGGAAATAGGCCCAAAAACTTTTCGTTTATTTAGTGAATCTAACTCGGCTTGAATGGCGCCTTTCCATTTATCCCAGTCACGTCTTTTCTGACATTCAGCTACAGATTTTGGTTCAGGATCCTCAACTTCATTATCAATTTCTTTTGATACCATATATGCGAATGCATCATCATTATTCATGATCTCATCACGCTTCCAAAGATTCCCATTGTTCACGTAATTGATGGAAATTTCAATATTTTCATTTTGTCCCGAAATTTTTCCATCATCTTGATTCCTTTTCAAATTGGAGTCAAGAATTTCTCTTTTCTTTCGAGGATTCTTATCTTTAGACCCAACTGGTCTTCCTCGTTTCAAGCGTGTCTTTGACTCATTTGGCTTATCGTCATTTGCCATTTCTTTTGGAATCTCAATTCGAGCAGGGGCATTTACGGCTACCACATGTGATTTGGTCACCCTTTTTAAATCAGTAAATGCATCTGGCAATTGATTTGCAATATTCTGCAAATGTATGATCTTTTGAATTTCTTGCTCTCTTTGTTTGGTGGGAGGATCAAGATATGATAATGCGGATGTTCTCCATTCAATATTTCTCTCAATTGACTTTTCATACCCACCTAAAGGGGGAAACAATTCTTCATTAAAATGACAATCATCAAAACGAGCTGTAAAAACATCACCTGTTTTTGGCTCAAGGTATTTGATTATTGATGGAGATTCATATCCAACATATATTCCCAACCTTCTTTGAGGCCCATTTTTGTACGTTGTAGCGGAGCAATTGGTACATATACTGCACAACCAAAAACTCTTATATGTGCAATATTTGGTTCTCGACCATATGTCAACTGTAATGGCGAGTATGTATGGTATGTACTTGGTCTTATTCGAATTAGATCATCTGCACGCAGAATAGCATGTCCCCATACTGAAGTGGGGATTTTTGTCCTCATTATTAATGGTCTAGCAATAAGCTGCAGCCGTTTAATTAATGATTCAGCTAGACCATTTTGAGTGTGAACATGTGCCACAAGATGTTCAACATCAATTCCCACTGCCATACAATAATCATTAAATGCTTGAGATATAAACTCACTAGCATTATCAAGTATGACCCTTTTGATAAAATAATCTGGGAATTGAGCTCTTAGTTTAATAAGTTGGGCGAGTACTTTAGCAAATGCCACATTTCGAGTGGATAACAAACTCACGTGAGACCATCTACTAGAAGCGTCAATCAACACCATAAAATATCTGAACGGACCACAAGGTGGATGAATAGGTCCACATATATCACCATGAATCCTTTTCAAAAAATATTGGTGATTCATATCCGAGTCCGACTTTATTATGTGATGGTCTCACTATCAATTTTCCTTGAGAACATGAAGCATATATCAATTCATGAGTTTGCAATACCCTCTGATTTTTTAATGGATGGTCATTAGATTTTTCAATAATTCTTCTCATCATTATCGAGCCAGGGTGACCAAGTCGATCATGCCAAAGTTTAAACATTTCATTCGACTTTGAATTGGTTGCAGTATAAGCCTCGATTATATTAATGCGGGTATAATATAAACCCGAGGATAAAGCAGGTAACCTTTCCAAAACACATTTATTTTCCGCAATATTTGAGGTAATGCAAAGATATTCATCTCCCCCTTTATTCATTGTTTCAACATGGCATCCGTTCATTCGGATATCTTTAAAACTCAACAAGTTTCTTGTTGATTTTGGGGAGAATAATGCATCATTCAATGTGAATTTTGTACCTCCCATCATAAAAAATATAGCCTTTCCAGACCCCTCAATTATTTTGCACACCCAGATATTGTGCTCACTTTCGCTTTATTTGTTTCTAAGTGAACAAAATATTTTCTGTCTTTGAGTATAGTGTGGGTAGTGGCACAATCTGCAAGACATAAATCTCCATTTTGGTTTCGGGACTATTCTATGATCTAAAACAAAACAAAAATGAAAATTATTGATTAATTTCGAAATAGATCATCAATTATTACAATCATAGTTCACAAACCATTACAATCATGCTTAGAAATTTCATCAACACACAGAAGACAGATCATCAATTATTCTTGAATATTTGCAGCTCCTTCTTCAAATGTTGCATCAGCAAAATCCATTCTCAGCATATCATCGATGTTATAGTCATCCTCTGCACGTATCGGTTCACTTCCGGAGGATTCTCCCATCATAAAATTAGTTTCAACATTCTTCCCTTTTGATTTCTGGGAATCCTGGTAACTTACAACCACGTGCTTTGGGGCTCGACAATTTCGAGCCCGATGCCCCTTTCTACCACATCGATAACATGCTTTCTCATCATTATTTTTCATGAAATTTTCCTCCCCTTTATCATGTCCGGGATTTTGCTGAAAACTTCTCCCTCTTTCATAGTTTTGAGCATCATTTTAACCATGTCCACGATTGTATCCTCGGCCTGAATTGTATCCTCAATAAAATTTTCGGCCTCGGCCATAACGGCGATGAGGACCATATCCACGGCCACGGCCACGACCCGAGTGATATCGGTGTCCATGAGTATGGCTGTTTTCATTTCCGGTTCCCTGTCTAGAGATTACAGCATTTATTTCAGGGACCGCAGTAGACCCCGTGGGTCTAGATTCATGATTTTTCATCAACAGCTCATTATTTTGTTCGGCTAGCAACAAGCAAGAAATCAGCTCAGAATATTTCACAAAGCCTTTTGCTCTGTATTGTTGCTGCAAAGTACGTTTGAAGCGTGGAATGTGGATAACATTTTTTCAAGCATATCGTAATCAATTACGTTTTCCCCGCATAATTTCAATACCGAGCAAATGCGGAACATGGCTGAATTGAACTCGTTTACAGTTTTAAAATATTGGAAGCGTAAGTGCATCCATTCATAACGAGCCCGGGGGAGAATTACTGTTTTCTGATGATCGTATCTTTCTTTCAAAGCTTTCCAAAGATCCGTAGGATCTTTCACAGTTAAGTGTTCATTTTTCAATCCCTCATTTAAATGGTGCCGCAGAAATATCATTGCTTTAGCTTTATCTTGTATTGATGAATTACTTGGGGAGATTATTGTTTCTCCCAATCCCCTCGCGGCCAAATGAATTTCGGCATCCAATGTCCATGAAATATAATTTTTTCCCGAAATGTCAAGAGCCTCAAATTCAAGTTTGACCAGATTTGCCATGATAACTATAAAATAAAACATCAATGCTTATATTAGAGAAAATTACGTTATACAATCATTAATTCTCCATAACGTACAGAAAAACAAATAAGAGGCACATCATACAAAAACCTTTCTTGATCGGATAGAGCGCTCGTGCTGATAACGTGTTATAAAAACGAGAAAGATAAAGAACACAAAATAGAAACCGGATAGAAATTATAGTGAATATTTCTTTCTTCTTTCTTTCTTTCAATGGTGCAAATTTTCTCTACACTTGGAGTGCCTTTTATAGGCAAAACTCTCCCGACACAATTCACATCAATTATTAATATCCATACCCCATTTCACTATTCCCATAACATCAAATAATGGAGTGAAATTATTTTGTGCATAGTGGTTTATTCCACTTGTACATATTATAACAGAAGTCGTTTTTTAAAGTTTGATTTTGTCTTATAATATTAAATTGCCAGCATAACTAAAGTGTAACTAAATTATTTATCGAGTAATTTCTCAAATTTTCTTTCCCGGGCCTTAAGATTAACTAAATCTAATTGCTCTAATTACTTCAGGATTAACTTTGAACACAAAAGGTTAATTTGTCATATTATGTATTTTTAACCTTGATTCTCAATCTCAATTTTACATTACTAGTAGTGTATTCAATTGAGATTCTTAGGGAGTGATTGGATATGAATTCAACTAGTAAAAAACTAGTTTTTTTTAACTATAGTTAAGTTTGAAAAAAAGTAGTATGGTTAGTTGTTAGTGGATATATTAAAATAATATTTAAATTAAAATAATTAAAGTTGATTTGATATAAAAGTAGGAGAAAATGATTGGAAGTGATGGTTAGTTAAAATTATATGAGTGTGTGAATAGTGAATTAAAGTTGATGTGATGTGTAATAATGATTTTTTTATATTATTTAATTATATTGATAATATTGGAGATAGTGGAGTTGAGTTAAAGTTGAGTTAAATTTGAATTTTGAGTGGGATATTTACTGTAGAAAATATAAACAATCACACCCTTAATAACTTTTTAAATTTGGTGACTTGAATGTACTTTGTAAAACTTTCACAATTTTACAGGACTTTTTGAGGCTTTCAGAGAATTCTCATTAGATACTTTAATAGATTTTTTAAAATTTATTAAGACTTTTATATACTTAGTTATAATTATTATGTTTGCATGAAATATCCTTGAACGTATCATAATTACTAATATAAAAAAAAAAAAAAAAAAATGGTTATGTATATTAATCCTTTAAAAAAAATTTGAATCAACCCATTGTTATGCAAAATGAGTTATTCAAAAAGTATGAACAAATAAATTATTAGCAAGTGCAAACTATACAAGCATTTGACCTTTGAAAAGTCAAATTCACAATAAAATAAAACTATACTGGATGACTTATTGAGACTCAAAAAAAGTTTAATTGAATACTTGTGACTTTTAAAAACTTATTATGAGTCTTCAAAATCTCAAATGAATACAGTAAATTTTTTAGAAATCTTTAAAAGTTTTAATTAAATACATTAAATTTTAAAAATATCAAGAAATATTTAAAAGTTTAAATTGAATACACGATCTTCTAAAAATTTAAAAACTAAATCGTTAAATAATCCTTCAAAAAATCAAATGATTCAAGAAGAGGAAGATAAAGTAGGTACTCCGTAGGCCACAAGCTGATAGACCGCAATTTATTTACGAATATATCCTTTTTCAAATCCTCAAAGTTACTGAAATAGCATTGCTCAAGATTTTTCCAGCAAAACTGCAAAACACTCCTAGAGAGATGCAAACAGAACAGATATAATGTCTGCTTTATCTGCAGCTGGGTTGGGATTTTCATGGCCCTCTAAACCAACTCAACAAAAAACAAATGACAATCAAAAACCCACATGGAAATCCTCAAAAGTTTCTTCTCTAAATTTCAGAGCCCATTGTTTTCCCAAAGTTCCAATTTTTCTCTACAGCCATCATCTCTCTTCCTCAGCTTCAATCTCACCCTGTGAAACTCTTGAAAAACCAGCCAAGATTTCAACAAATCCATGGCTTATAGAAAGGCTCGTGCTTGCTGATTTGAATCCTGCTACAGCAAAGCTGGCAATTGGGCTTCTTGGCCCGTTTTTGTCTGCATTTGGGTTTTTGTTCATTTTGAGAATAGTGATGTCTTGGTACCCTAAACTTCCAGTTGAGAAGTTCCCTTACATAATAGCTTATGCGCCAACCGAGCCGTTACTCGTTCAGACAAGGAAGCTTATCCCGCCGTTAGCTGGAGTTGATGTTACCCCTGTTGTCTGGTTTGGTCTGCTTAGTTTTCTCAATGAGATTTTAGTTGGCCCACAAGGGCTTCTTGTTCTTTTGTCTCAGCAGGTTTAGAATTTGGTTGTGCTGTGATGATGGATATAATGTGTTTCTGGACAAATTCTTGAGTTCAGTTTGTGTGTGGTGTGTTTTCTTCCTTGTTTTTGTTTTGGTGAATGTATGTATATGGTTGTAGAGAGAAACAGAATGATTATGGGGTGTGGTGTGGAATGAATCTGATGATCAAGTTCAGCCAGACAATGCGTAATTGTGTTTGGATTTGTTTCGGTTTGAACTGAGTTTTGAAAATTGTAATTGTGTTTGGGTTTGTTTCGGTTTGAACTGAATTTTGAAAATTGTGCATGAGTTTTCGCTTGATTGTTGATGGATTTGACTTCAATAATCAAGCGATTTATGGGAATGTGAATGAATATAGCGATCAAGTTGAGCCAGATAATGCATAATTGTACGTCGTTTGAATTTGTTTCGGTTCGAACTGAGTTTCGAGAATTGTGTTTGAGTTTCAATGGATTTCAATTTAAACATGCCTGGTTGCAAACCGGGGCCAAACAAAAATTGAGTTAAATAGCTTGATGTTCATAGTTCATACATGCAATCAACTATCTCTACAGGTAGAGTTGAGGTTACACTGAGTTTTGTACCTAACAAAAATGAACTCTGTGTTCATGAATAGGCTGGAAACAAGCTCTTCACAACTAATCTCGAACCATTAACTCATTTTCCATTCAGAATTTTGAAGCAAAAAATAAAATGCAGTAAAGGAAAAAGATTTTCTCCAATGACTCGATTAAATAGACGAGAGGTTCGAGTAGGATTGACAATGGTAAGTTTATGATAGAGTTAGGTGTTGCAGACACTGCTTCAAATTTCTCATTGATGTTTTCGACAAGCTGATAAATAAGAGTATAGGCATTCAAAAGAAATGCTCTTAATGTTACAGATTAAATTTCGATGAAGATACTTCAAAACAAGAGGCAGAGGAGAACTACCGATTGACTCTATAGTTAAACAAACCAAAACCCGATAAATACATGAAGGTTGCTGACACATTGAAACTGTTGAAGTATGCAGATTTTGAACTCGGGCGATTTCGAATCTTGTCTGCTTTTGTTTTCTTTCTCGAATTCAGTTACTAAAATCTGGAAATGGACAGATTTTATGGCGGGAAATGCTCGACATCCCTTGCATATCTGATTCCACTTAGAAGATCCCGAGCAGTTTCCTTCTCCTATATCGAGCAATATAATAAAATATAATGTCTGAACAGTCTAAATGAGATTAACTTTAGTAACACACATCTGGTAGAATATATTTTTAATTAACTTCATCTGGTAATATAATCGACATCAATAATAACAGAAACCTCTGAGGTCTAGGAAGAAACTGAAGCTTTAGAATATATTAGCGCAAAATACATCCTTCTAAGTTAAACCTAACACATGAACGGTAAGTTTTGGGTTGCTAAGTTTCAGAAATTTTCAAGTTTCTTTAGTAACTAACCAAAAATGATATATAACTAAAAAGCAATGAGATATTGTTCACAAAGAAACATGAAAGAATATATGAAAACTTACAGGGCCAGTGTAGTCAAGAAGGCGGGTACAGTAAACCTCGGCCTCATCAAATTTCTTCCGAGCCTTACAATGCTGAGCCAAATACATCAAAGCCTCAACCATGTTCGGTCCTTCTCTCTCCTCAGCCTCCATCCTCTCCAAATCCTTCCTGTAATAAAACGCGGCCTCATCAGCTCGGCCAAGCTCACAATGAAGCTTCGCCAGCTGGTGCAAGGCAATAGCTTCCCTGTCATTACAATCAGCAGCTCGTTCATAGCACTTAATGGCCTCCTCAAGCATGTGAAGCTGTTCGGTTTCGTAACACTGAGCCATAGCAATCCACAGCCGAGAATCACTCGGCTGCAAGAAAACAGATTTTTTAAAATAATGAAGAGCGTAAAAAGGCATCCCCATCATCTCGTATGCTTGCCCTAAACCGTACCAAGCCCGATAATCACACGGGTTGATATCCACCGCACGTCGATAGGCATCAACGGCTGACGATGTATTTTTCATCTCCACATACTCATGGCCCATCAGTGTCCATGCGGATAAATAATTCTTATTTAATTTTAAAGCCCTCCGAAAATACATGACCGATTTTTCATGCTGCCCCTTTAAGCTGTAATAATTACCTACTATGCAACACGACTCTGGCCGGTACTTATCGGTTAAGAAAACTCGGTGAGCGAGATAGCTAAGTGCGGAAAAGCATTCTTTGGCGTAAAGCACGTTGGAGTACATGTCCATGTCCTCGATTCTGTAAGGGTCGTTTCGTAAAAGCTCCTCGAATATAACTTCCACTTGTTCGAACTCCCTGAGGTTGTACTGAGCTTTCGCGATCTGCGCTTGGATATAATTGCTGAAAGTGAAAGTCCCTTGAAGATACTCGTATTTGGCTAAGGACTCGTTGTGCATGCGGAGTTCTTGATAGGCGCTGGCTAGGAAAAAGTCCTTCATCCAGTGGTTGTTAAGGTTGAGACCGTTTAGCGTCTCGATTGTGGTGCATAGTGTTTGAAGCTCAGACCAAGCACTCCAGTTCCAAGGGTAGTTGTTTACGGACTCCACAAGAACAGATCTTGCGAGATTTTCAGTGCCTTTCTCCTTGAGGACCAAACCGTACACGTAAAGACCAAAAGGGTCGATTGTACCGTTTTTGCGGAGGTTTGATAATTCTCTCTCTAGAGAGACGAGCTCTCGGTTAGTGGCATCACTCTTGCCTAGAGGTCCCTCGAGTTCTATCATCTCTTCTTCTTTTCGCTTTTCTCCAGCCTTTCACGAGTGAAAAATTTTAGTTAGGCCTCTGAGAAAAATAATATGCTGAATTACAGTTGAAAGGTGCAGATATGGATACAGACCTCAACCAGAATGCAAACACATATTAGAATAGAGTAAGCTTAAACGTGAGTTTCACATTAGGACAAGTGGTAAAAATGTTAACAATCGAGAATCAGAGAAAAGGGGAGCATTTTGAGGCTGCAGTCAACCTGCTTGAGTTATAAATGTAAAACGCAAATCTTATCAACGAAACTACGAAAGCCAAAAAGATAAACCTTAGTTCAAAAAGTTTTCATCTTGTGCATAAAATACACCACAGTGTGAATCATATCAGAAACCAAAGTGGCATACACTATGCATGCCAGAGCTCAATGCTTGAGATGAAATATAGCACGTGGATGCCTGAATTTAAGCACCATAAGGTGATATAATGAAAGAACTGTATGATTGGAATTCATAACTTGGCCCTCATAATAACTCCCAACAAGTTTTTTGTCGCAATCTATATGATTTCGATACCATCAAATATGAATCTTTTTGCCCATTCTGCCTTACAGTGGTTTGTGCAACTGGATATGGAATTAAAGCACATTGTATCCGGTCCAGATTCAGTTATTTCTCATAAACCAGATATATCCGTCAAAACTTTACATCCTCACAAACCAGATATATCTATGTCAATTTTTTCTTCCCACCATAGATTAAAAAAGCAAAGCAACAAACACTTCTTTAGTCATTAGACAAGGTCCCGAGGAATTCAAGATTTTAACTTTCAGCGAATACACAAAGAATGCAAGCTACAAGTTTACCCAATTACTCAAATTCGGTAAGAATCAGATGAAAGAAAGCAAAACAAGCATTTCATTAGTCATTACAACAAGGAATTCAAGATTTTAACTTTCAGCCAATAACACAAATAATGTAAGCTACAAGTTTACCCAATTACTCAAATTCGGTAAGAATCGGATGAAAGAAAGCAAGAAGCTATGTTTAAATACAGCCAGCAGTAACCTCAATTAAGTCTAGAAATCAAGAAACCATTATCAACACAACAGTTTAACTTAAAAAGTGACAAACAAATCAAGAAAACCAACCAAATAAAGTGCATAGCATCGCAAGAACACGGCTTTCTTGCCCGTCTGGTCCCTCAGCACATGAGCAGCCCTTCTATACTCCCTGCAGTCAAAGTAAGACTTTGCCAGCAGATAAATATCGCTATCCATCATATCATAATCGTACTCCTCGGGCCCCGACATTGTTGGGGTGGTGACGTATGAAACTCCGCCGGAAGGGGTGGCGGAGGCGTCCGACGGGCCGGCCGTCCGATAGCGGCGGCGAATGGAGGAGCTCCCCCGCTGGAATCGAGTGTGTGAAGGGGGGTGCTTTGAGGGGTCTTGCTCAATCCCCATTAACTGCTCCGCTGACCTTCAAGCAGATAAAATCTTGAAATCAGTATCGAAGAAAAATTAATGATTTTTGTCACGAATGTGGGTGACGTACCATTTGGCGGCGGAGTATAAGCCGCGGTCGCTGAGGTGGCGGACGGCGGAACGGAGCTCAGTTCGGCAGGTTTCTCTGGAAGCCATTGTTTTTAACAGATTAGTTCTCACGCATATACTTCTGCCGTCCTCTGGATATGTTTGATTCAATCTGCGTGAGAATTTTGGGAGTTGAAATTGAGATTTAATTGGAGAAGAACAAAGGGAGTGTTTTGGGGGGTTTTTCTATCGGCAACCGCGCCGTGATAGTGATTTGAACTTGAGTACTTGACAATAAACTTCAGTTACAGTAAGAGCCATCTTTAACAATACCCTTAACAATAAGATCTTATAATTTATAAACCTCATTTTTCAAGATTCAAAACTTACAAATCTTCATAGTAAATCTCACATACCCACTATTTATACCTACTTTTTATGATCCCACATGTATTACACCCACTTTTAAATAATAATATATTATAATTTTATTTATATTTTAAAAACAAAACTTCATTTATTTTTATAAACCTATATTTTTATCTATTTATCATACATAAATAAAAATAAAATAATTACATAATTATATGGAATTATTTTTAATTATAATGTAAATTTTACAAATAATATAAAATATGTTATGCATAAACTATTACCAGTTATATATTAATACTCTCGGTCGACCCATCAAGCCAAGAATTACCTGTATGATTGGTTATAAATTTTTCAATTAGTATCCAACCAACTTTAACAATCATTTTTTTTTAATTTACAATCTAACTCAAATTTAACATAACACTGCTTTCCTAAATATTATCAATATAATTAATTGATAGTAGTCAATTATCATTACACATCACATCTACCTTAATTATTATTCATCAACTCACATAATTTTAACTACTCACTATTTTCAATTACCACACTCTTACTTTTACGTCAAATCAACTTTAATTATTTTTATTTTAAATAAAATTTTAATACAAACTAAAAATCTCAATCAAACTTCACTCAACCGTTTTTTTTTCTAAAT